GCGGGTTTCGTAAGATGAATAATAATCTTTCACCGAAAACCGTTTGAGAGGTGAGTATGCTGATGGTATATTTTTAAGCAGACGACAGGGGGAAGAAAGATTTACCAAAATCGTGGAAGCCAAGTACTTGGAAATCAACTAGCGTCATTACAGATATACATATAAGATGACTGCTAGCCAGGAATACGCAGTGTTAAGATTATATCATTATATTGTCCGGCACTGAGGTGGTTTTGCATGCGTACCATAGATATGTACATACCTGTTTGTGTACTATGAAACACTTCGGAAAAAATGTTTTTAGAGGATTTTATTAGGGTCGTTTGATAATGTAAAGTCTGCTATAAGATGTATGTATTGGCTGACCTTATCAAGGCTAGATTAAGTGCCAGATATAATACTTAGCGCAGGTGAATAGGATGTTTGTTTTTATAGTCACAATGATGACCACCTATGCGGGATCCTTAGTTGTGATATATAGAAATGGCTTATTCGCCTGCAAGTATCTGAAATGCAGCTAAATCGATGATAACTCGTTTGTGTCTTAAACGTAAAGTTCGCTGAGAACAAATAAGTTCTAAAGCTAGACGACTTCGGAAGTGAAACTGTTCTTTAAGGTATTTTGAACTTATTCAATTTGTGTATCGGTTGATAGGGTAATGGTCTCCTAATCATGCAAACGAGTTATAGATATGATTCTCCGACGTCAGCGAAATGACAGATTTAGATAGACAATTTGTATAAATATACAAATCCTAAAGACGGTAAAGTTACCTTGTGCATTTTTTGAAAGTAGTCGTGCAGTCGGGTTTGTGTATCATTACATTAGAAACAATTAAGAGTTAGTGTTTTGAGTTTTAATGTAACATTGCCGTATGAAATTGTCCTCGACATCTAACCCCCCCCAGAATAGAACAGGGAATATCCAGAGCATAGCTTAATTTCGTACATCTTTGTGACTTCTAAGATAATCTCGTTACCCCCACATTGTTACAGAGGCTAACAAAGTAGAAGCATAAAACATGACATTTTAACTGAATGAAGTTTACGCTACAACTTGAGTATGTTTGAAAAAATTAGACATTTCAACTTCCAGTAAAATGTCTTGGCATGACTGCTATAGCCTAGCAAAAACGCATGACGGAAATAAACTGAGTTAGGTAAATATCAACAGAGGTCAACGCTTGTCCTTTTCAAATCAATAGATTTTAGACGATTTAGAGGCAACGTTATCCAGTATGGAAAGGAATATCTGTATGCACTCTAAATAACTGAGTTTGTACTATTTGCTATACGCAGTAATATGTTAATGGTGCAAGACAATCCTAATTTAATATCGGCAACCGAATCTAGGACTGATAACGCTTATCTAGCCAGCACCTAAAATACTACTTGAATGTACACCTTTGTTTATGCACCATAGCCTTACGTGCAGAGTTATTAACTGAATGTATAAGATACAAGTTAGGTGCAAACTTAAATAAAGTTTAAAATAAACATTCTTAGCCGTATTTCCGATGTTTTTTTTTGCGTTGGACGCGAAGAAATCACTTAGTATTTTGGCTTTATTTCTTTAGCAATGCTTTGAATTGTTGTCTGTTTTTCGCAAAAAGTACCACTGGATATTTCAAACCGCTGCCGTTTCCCAAAAATTTTGATTCACTCGCCAGCAGGCCACAAAAATCTAAATTGATACCTGTAAAAGGTACATACGTACATCCCGCATTTTAGCCTCTCTTCCATTTAAGTGTCAAATAGAGTGCTCCGTAATTGAAGATCTGCGCGGTGCTGCTCGAGGAAGGCATAGTTTTAGGAAAAACTAGGACTACAATTGAAGCTAAGGTCAGAAATTGGTGGATTAGCAGTGCTCCATATGCAGAAATAAATGTAGATGACGAGTATTTAAATGCACATATTATTCTACAGCGATAGCGTCACAATACTGACTGTTCGATGTCGCCTAGATATTTGTAAGCTATCTGTAAAAGGTGCAGAATTATACATATTTTTTCTTCATTAATTGACATAAGGTGCCTATTTTGTTTATTTTTCTTATTTTATTTTTTTTTAGGTATATGCTAGTTATGCAGTGACAATCGGCTTATATACATCTCCGTATCTTCATTTCGTTGCTGGTCGCTAGTTTATAGGTGGGCGAATTTATGCCAAGAAAACTAACTTTGACTGATTTGCTACTTATTAAAATATGAGCTTTATTCAGTGATGGGCAGCACAATTAAAAGGGATATGTCAATTGTACAGTCTGTTCTCTAACACAAGGAGGCAGCATTTGAAGCCACAGGACGTGATGCTCCCATATCTCCAATCGTTTTTTTGTACAAATGTAAGTCATATTTATAAGGAATTAATAATACATGCCGAACGCTTAAATTTAATCAAAACTTCAAATTATCTACTGTTTACAGCTTTGGATGATCTTTGACTATTCATCCGCTGTAGAACGTTACATTACATTATATAACATGCTACTTAGAGCAATCGAATTATTGTCGCATATAAAAAATAATCAGGGGCATAAATGATCATTGTGATTGTATTGAGATCGTTACGGAATAACTAGCTTGCTCGAATTACCATTGATCGGCTATTTTTCCTTGAACATGGATACCTTTAATAATAATACCTTTAAATAAGAAGGTCTTAAATATTGAAAATTACATGATATTTCTTGCTAAAATTGCATTCAACAAAAATCAAAACCCTACGTTTACCTCTGCTAGCTCTAATGTGTTGACTGTAGAGGGTATGTTGTCGCCACAGACTGCCGTATATATCAATTGGTAAAGCGCTGTTTCTCTTGCCTCTTCCGGACAATTTCCTTTCTACGACTGGAGAGGTCGTTTTTCATGTTTACGTATATAGTAAAAAACACAGTCCGAAAGATTAAAAAATATTCACAAACGATGATCAAGGAAAAAATCACTTGCCTAAAAAATTGATCGTTGAAAAAAAGGTGGGCCACACGAAAATGTTGTCGTATATCCTAAGCCGATGCTAAAAGAGGATCAACGAAAAATCGAAACAAGCATGAACGGATTCCCACGGCGTGCGGTAACTGCGAAGGAATAAATTGGCAAAGTTCAGACGCCGCTGAATAGCGCAGTGTTGCCGTTGAGCAGACATCGTCCGTGATTGCATTAGTGGGAGCTTTGGTAGCTACTACGGCTTTGGATAATCGCGTCATTCATACTAAAATTTACCAGTATGCTTACCATGATCTAATGCGGTCTGGCTGAGCTGTCGTTTCAGCAGAAAAAAAAATGAGCCATGAACGTATGATGCCCTTCAAGGTTCCGATCTTCTGCTCATTACTATATGAAACACTGCATGGACCGAAGCCCTTGTCCCGGTCTATTTAACTGGTGCAACAGGTTGCTTGCGTCAAGCATCTAGAAATGCTACAGCTGAGGACTTCCTATTCGAGCGGTTATTGCTGCTGGTGCAATAAATATACGTGGTTTCAGTGTTGCGAGCATCGGCAGCTTTGGCTACATGAAATCAGACCGGATCCCTTGATGGCATTCGACGATGACTAAAACGTATATTTTCTAAAATAATACCAATGAATGTAAATACATTGACGCTTTAGAAATCGTTCAAACATGATCTGAGATAATAAAATCGTGAAAGAACTCGTGAGGCCGCTATGGAGTAGGTATTGCATGTGCTGAGGAAATAAATGGCTAGATATATTGATACGAATCCTGTTTAAAAAGGGAAAGATCCTGAACATAACGTAACCATTGTTGACGCAAAGATTGAGGTTCGTATGAAACTAAATAGTGTAGCATCTACGTTTTTTGTCGCGAACAATGGAAAAGTTTGTCCGAACTAGGCAGAAGACCTACCACGTGGATTTAAAAAACTATAGACATTATTATCGATTGCGCCAGCACAAACTGCAAAACCTTGACCTACGTACTTTCCTCATAACTGCACTAGAGATCACTTGGCACCATTAATAGGTACAATGCAATCACTGAAGCCATGAGTCGCCTACTCTCAAGCCGTTCATGTCTGTTGGCATTTCTCACAGCGCCAACCTACAGAGAACTTGTTGATACCTGATTGATGAACATTTAATTGAATTCCTGATGAACTAGATGCCGCATAGTCAGTGCGACGCTGGATCCATTTATTCGCGTCGAGTCGTGTGGCACTTACTTCTCCCTTCGAAATTGCGAATGGTTATCTATAAATAATACAAATTCTTTTAATAATGATCATTTTTTATGGGGCTGCGAAGGTGTCTAATAGTAGCGTCGAGGGTACACAGCAGGTGGTTTCCCATCGTCCGTTCATCCTTGTGGTTGACTTCTGTTTTAAACGTGATGATCCTTTGCTACCTAATGCATTCTCGTAAAGCCTATGTCATCTTCTCGTACTCGTAGAATAGAAAAACACACAAACATTTATAGGCGAAGCTTTGTTTCAAAAGTTCTACGTCCGTTATCATTCTTATACGTACGATCACATAGTTGACCGGCTGCCTCCCACAACGAAACGAGTGTATCATTGCCCGGGTTCGAACCTATACCACAATGTGTTCCTGTGCTTTGCATGCAATTACATTACCTGCTAAGCTACCATGGGAGTGTGGGCTAAATTGCGCTACATGATGACTTGAACCGCTTTTTATGTGAGAGGTTCAAGTCCCAAGGTCGGTCTAATAAATTTACCTCTTATTCAAGTTTACCTGTCCTATAAAAGCCGACCATTTACTTTGCACGAGCTGTTAATGTTTGCCCATACGCCCATTGATGATCGATATTCAGGGTCTTTTGAAGACCATACAGAGTAGTATATTAAAAAACAGGAGGACACTTACGGATTACTTTTGGTTTACAAAAAGCACTACATTTTTTTTTACTGATCTTGAAAGTTCCGTAGGTAGCACGCCATTGTCTGCAAGCAACAGACAGTGGCCTAATTTTCAAATTTATTTACATAAAATTATTCTGTTTGATTCGTTTTTACAGCAAATGCGCCTTGTCGAAAACGGTTCAACATTAAAACGATGGGCAAACGTGGCTGTTCCTATCTATTTTTCGGCATTTATGTTTAATATAACTAATCCGGAGGAGTTTGCGAATGGAGAAAAGCCTCAAGTGCAAGAGATCGGACCGTACGTTTACCTTCAGAAGCGACGCAAACTCATCACACACATCGACAGGGACGTTGTACGTATCCTAGGGTATATAACAAATACACTTTTTATGTGTCGTAACCAATAAATATAACATAGATACAATTGCTGACACTTCTCTTAAGCGGAAACCACTTAGCTTATGATCGTTAAAACCTTCAGGATTATTTGCGTATTGTTGAGCGCAAATGTTTAAGGGACCTCAGAGCAATACTAGACACAAGATGGGTAGCACTGTTGTCAATAATCTGGCAAAACGGGTTCTATACTAGGTATTGACAAAAATAAATAAAAAAAGCATTATAAGGCCTGCTAAGACAACTGTAACATATTACTGAAAACTAGCTGAATGTAAGCCACGAGATATTCCCTTCTCATGTTGAAACGAGGTTCGATATGTTAGTAAACACAAATGTTAATCATCTCGATGAATAAAAATCAAAATTCAGCACTAATTACAATCGAACAGCGTTCACTTGATTACCCAGTACATCCAGTAACGCCCACTGGTGTTCATTAAGTAAACTGAGAATTGATTTGCACCAGGTGGCATATTTTTCTTCACTCCCCCTAAACTAAAATTCAGATAGTCTAATGTACATATATGTTTACATCTTCGTAAGCTTCGATACCTCAGATCTTTCAAACGAAGCTCTCCAATCTCCCCCATGGTCGTAGATACCTACTTCTGGAATATTACGGGTTTAAAAGATGCGATTCCGATTTAATTGTCATACTTTGCTCATCAAAAGGCCTCAAGTGGGAGTGCAAGAAAGTGACGCAGAAATGTTCGAGGTCGCGCATAACGTTTTCAAGTTTCCTGATTACCAAGCTCGCGACTTGGGCACAATGAACGCGTAAGAGGGGCAATTGTGCTAGCGTTCTATTAGACTACATTATTCAGCCCTTGCGCGACTGAATCACGAAGTTCAATAGGATGGAGAGACTGTACCATGATAGCAATTTTCAAAGAAAAGGCAGACCACACTTCCTATTAAGTACTTTTCGTACATCACATAACGACACCCATGGGGTATAAGTAAGAAGTAGCGCCAAGGGCTGGAAACCAGAGGATTTTCGATTTCGATCGGGTTAAAAACACGCGTCAACGTGGTCTCACATATTTACTTACACATACATATTTACTTACATTTACACATATTTACAACTCACATACAAGTAGAACCCTCTTAATGTGTACTTTATGCATATGACCTCATAATGTACATCATAAGTAGATTTCGCCTGCAACAGGCGCTAATGGCCCTAGACAGCTTGTTGTTGCATTTGACAAGACTAGGACAGAATCTACGAAGTTCAGAAAAAAGCAAAAACTTGCTAAAAGTAGCTTGGCCCGTTGGAATGAAACGACCCTGAAAATTGTCGACTCGTTATATAACACGTTAACGAAAACGAAGATGATTATTCGCTGATCATATAGGAGAAAATATTAAGGGAGCAACGGTCGTGGCTGTTATAATCAAGAATTCGCAAAAAGTACAAGATGAAAGAGCAGCCAGCCTAGTCTGAAGATTGCACTGGCTGCCACAAATGCTTAGTATACCTGTTGACCTGCAGCTTTCATCGGAACAAGTTCGAAAAAGGTTTTGCCAGATAATGTATATAGATCATTTATGCAGACGCAGAGGCCAGCGTTAGCAAACATAAATCTTTGAACCATTTGAATCCCAGCCTCGAGCAACGGCAGATGGGAACAAGCCAACAAACGTAATCGCCATAGCCATAATGAAGCTCACAGTGCATAAGTTCCACCTCCTTATTTACAACACACAAAGACATCACAATTGCAATGAAGATTGTATTGGCAAATTCTGTTAAATCAAAGCGAGCCAATTCGATCGAAGTCCTCACTGAGGAAGAATATTTGTGAGATTTGAGAATAGAACTGTGCTAAGTGACTCGGACACTGTGACTCACGAAGCGCTGCGCGTTCGAGAGAAAAGAGTACACGCTGAAAGGAGGAGCGTCCAGTTAAGGTTTGCGACACAATCAATTGGATGTTTCAGGTTGGAAAAAATCAGCATTATCCGAGTACGTAACGAAAGTCAGGAACATGAGCGAGCAGTATACAAGTAAAAAAAAATAGTTTCACCTGAGTCCCGCTTCGAATGAAAACGGAATCTGCCTAGGGATTGAAACCGTTAATGCAGGACCAAGCACATTGAAAGGCGTGAATTTACTGCAGTTACGAAAAATATCCTACTGAAGTGCCGTTAGGAATACATAAATATGAGGTATGGCATCCGTGAAAGAAACTTCAAAAGAATCTGACCGCTATGTGCCTCGTGAGAAAGACGCATAGGCCCCGGTTTATGCTCCTTATGCGTAATATGCAATAAATACAATATTTGTTTAATTAATTCGCCTCAGATATAGCCCACTACTTATATACCGCATGCACAGGTTTATATTACCGCTATTTATACAGCCAACACACACTACTTGGACGCTTTTGTGTGAAGCGTTATATTACTTTTTTTATTACTCATTAAAAAATACGCTTACAATTTTGCTGAAAAAAAAACAGCTTTACGTTGCGGAAGGAATGTCACGATAACAAAGATCGTTTACTTATTCAATGAGCATGCACATTATATTTACGGGTAGAAAGCGCACCTTCAACCTTGGGTCACTGTGATAGCTGGCCCATGTGGAGGCCGAATAAAGTCAACAATGTGTATACGTTTACGATTCCTGACGACTGAATCGGCGAAGACATCTGTTGTTGTCTGCTTCGCGTTGCCGCTCAGCTACTACCATCGCTGGTTGGAACATCAAAACAATAGGTGATATCGACCTGCTGGATTAGGCCTGTAACAGTCAACCAATACGTCGAATTCGTACGTACGCTTTTGACTCGTTCTAAATATATGACAATTAAGGAAATACAACAGGCACAGGATACCTTTGCGAAGTGTAACCTATACGCGTCGAACAATGTTTAAAATTCATTTAAGTTAAGTGGTCAGGCTTTTGCATTGCGTTAGTTTCCAATGGCAGCCTTTATAGCGTGCAGGTAGTCTGATGTGAGACCTGTCAATAAGGCGAATGAATTTCGCGTACGGTCATCGAGAACATAAGGAAAAAGACTGCTGGATGTTATAACAATGTTACTGACAAAGATGTCGACTCTGTGAATGGTCAATAAAAAAAAAAAACCTATAAAAACCTACCGTGCATCCTGTCAAGCAGATAATTCTTTCCCTGGTAAGCTAGCAATTTCATATTAGCGCAATCTACTCAGTCCGAAATAACGGTATGTCATACATGAAAAATTATTAAAAGTTGCTGATAGACACTTCTACGTGAAGTTATTTCGGCATTGTTCTGCGATAAGTCGCATTAAAGCGCCAACAACGAATACTCTTGTGAGTCTAGCAAAGAAAAAATTGAAAAAAAAAAACCATGCATAATCGTATTGCGCACTTGTAAAACAGTCGTCACGATGTAACTTTGTAAAAACGAAGAAACATGACGTCAAGCATTTTGAATAATGGAGCAATTGAGTTTCGTATAGCAGTTACTGTATTATTTAACCCATCTAAGATTATTTTAAAACGGTGTGTTTTTCTCTAAGTAGCGCACAATGCTTTATGGCTAGAGAGATCAACTGCAGGTCGTAATGCAGTTGGATGCCTTAATTTCTTCGTAGACTTCGGGTCACCTAGGAATAATAATTGCAATAAAGGATTCTTGGGGTCGAATTCAGGACCACGTCAGGATACTAGATTTACGACCCAACTGCGGCAAACTACTTTTGACAATATAGATCATAGACAGCACTTTATTGCTATTCTACGCATCTCTGAAAAATGTCAATAAAAAATAGTACATTACATGAAAGAACGGAAAACCACTACTCTAAAGGCATAGAAAAATAAAGTATCTACATGTATCAAGTAAAAAATTTAGCAGCGGTGTTAGTCATAATTGTCGCCATAGTTTCAATAGGCACAACAAAAAAATTCATCTTTGAAAAATAGAAAAAAAAATTAAATCAAAACAAATTCGTCATAAAGTCCAAGAGACCTTTAAAACTATCAGACTTTCCTAACCAAACGTCGGTCAAGAATCAAAAACTCAATATCTTTTACTCCAGTTCCTTTAATCACACTCCTGTAAACGTGCCCTAGAAACCGTCAGCTGAATCCAAGTCTTAAACTTAAGACTGTTCCTATTTTAGGAAATCGTGTTTCCGCTAACCAAATAATGAGCCTCTGTAGAAATCTTCGGATAATAATTTTTATATACGCACACTTATCCCAATGGAAGTGATCTGTGAAACATCCCACAGACTGTAGCCGGTTTTATCCCACAAATGCCGTAGCAATCACCAGTATAATTGGAGAAGTCTAAGATGTAGAGAATTACTCTGGCAGTTTTGATACCGTGAACAAGAAGCTGGTCATAGAGAAAACATGGCTTGATCTGACATCAACAGTGTCGAAAAAGTGTAGACAAATCCTGCATCTATTTAAGGTATCGGCGTAGCCACATCCTACGCCTAGGAAAGAATATTGCTTCTACTCTAATAGACATTTGACTTAGCGCTAGTATATGATATCGAGTAAATTCCTAGATTGGCGTTGGCTTGACATGATTCTTTGTCTGGCCAGAAGCTGAACCATGTCCAGCCAGCACAACCAACCAGAATATAAGCCCCTGTCCGTCGCATCCCACCGTTCCTGAACATGGCCAGCTAAGTACTAGTAGGAACAGATCGCATTAGTCGCAAAAAAGTTTATAACTATTTGGACAACATGGAGACGAAAAAAGTTCTAAGGGCGAACATCAAAAGAACCCAGAGCAAGCTATAGTAAGGCAGCAACTTCGATTACCCTTGGCATCACCGCGTATACAAGCTCACCCTAGGTAAGTCGGATCCAGTCCAGATCAGCTTCCGTAATTTAGGTTTTCGATCCACCTGTTAGCACCGTTAGCATTCGCAAAGTACTAAAAGCAAGCAATAATATAGTGACGGTGTCTTATCTACGTTAATAAATCATTGAATGT